GTCTCCGGCGGCGGCATCCCCAGCAGCGGCTCCCTGCAGAGGAAGAAGCTCATCTCTATCTGCGACCACTGCAAGATCAAGATGCAACTGGTGGCCGATCTGCTTCTGCTGTCGAGCGAGACCAGGCCGGTGAACACCGAGAGTCTGTCTGTGTTCGGTGAGTCCTTTGAGAAGTGCAGGGACACGATCATTGCCAGGACCAAAGGACTCTCCATATTGACCCATGACGTCCAGAGCCAGCTCAACATGGGACGCTTCGGGGAGGTGGGGGAAAGCCTGATGGAGATGGGGGAGCTGGTGGTCTCCCTGACCGAGTGCTCTGCCCACGCTGCCTACCTGGCTGCGGTGGAGACTCCGGGGGCACAGCCTGCTATGCCTGGCTTGGTGGATCGCTACAAGGTGACCCGATGTAGGCACGAGGTGGAGCACGGCTGCGGGGTCTTGAAGACCACCCCTTTGGCAGATATGAGCCCTCAGCTCCTGCTGGAGGTTTCTCAGAACATGTCCAAGAACTTGAAATTCCTGACAGATGCCTGCGTGCTGGCCAGTGAGAAATCCAAGGATAAATTTGCTAAGGAGCAGTTCAAACTCAGTGTCAAATGTATGAGCACCAGCGCCTCTGCCCTCTTGGCGTGCGTCAAGGAGGTCAAGACCTCACCCAGCGAGCTGACCAGGAACCGGTGTGTCTTGTTCAGTGGACCTTTGGTGCAGTCTGTCTATGCTCTGGTGGGCTTTGCCACTGAGCCCCAGTTTTTGGGTAAAGCTGCCACCATTAATCCAGAGGGCAAAGCTGTGCAAACTGCCATCCTAGGAGGAGCCATGAGTGTGGTATCTGCTTGTGTGCTCCTGACCCAATGCCTCAGGGATATAGCCCAACACCCCGAAAGTAGCACCAAAATGAGCGATTACAGGGAAAGGTTGAGGAACTCAGCTTGCGCCGTCTCGGATGGTTGCAACCTGCTATCTCAGGCACTAAGAGAAAGATCTTCACCCAGGACTTTACCGCCAGTGAACTCCAATTCTGTGAATTAACCCCCACATCTTCTGTTTAGATCCCAGTCATTGCTAAAGGAAAATAATATCCCACCTCCTCACCCCTTTTTTGTATACCAAAGAATTTGCTTGGATGAGCCCAATCCTTTGATTTCATGTGGTGAAGAAGCAGAACATATTCAAACTATACGTACTAATGAAGGTAGCCAGTTTTGGCTTTTTATTTTACTTTAAAGTCAAGCAAGTATCTGCAGATAAATTTTCCTTTATTCAGCAAGGTCTTCACACAAATGGTAATAGCAACTGTTTCAAAGTTTTTATATTTGGGGAGGTGGGGGTGTCTTAAAGAAAAAAAGGAGAAAAAAAGAGCTTTAATCGCGCTGGGTGCGGTTTTTAAAGTTTGTCTTGTCTTGTCTTCCGAAATTTCCCTTCTAAATTTTGCTGTTCAGTTGTGCAGGAAAAAGGTTACCTCAGTTCTCACTCATTTGAAAAAAAAAAAAAGAAAAAACCCAACAACACATAGATGATGGATGTAGCTACTATTTTGTTTGTTTTTGTTTTGTATGACTTTTTTTATTTTGCATCAAGTGTTAGGTTAGAAGTGCATTTGGTGTGTAGGAGTGGAAGGACTGGAGGTTGTGATTATGTTTTCCATGTGTTGATTTCCAAACTGGGGGAAAAGCTACTGTGAGTGTTTAAACAAACAAACAAAATTACACTATAACAAAAGTGATTTTTAATTTTTTTCCAATGTCAGTTTTTATCTTGCATGTACTGGAGTATTTATTTCATCTATTAAAATGTTATGTTTCTCAGATGCCTTTCTGTGAATCTCTTAATACTTGAATAATTGAACAACTAGGCTTGTTTGCATTGTATGTCATTTCCCCCAGGGAATGGGTGGTACAAACCTAACTGTAGTTCTAGACAGGCTTCAATTCAGTTCTTCTATTTTCATAAATGCTGTCCCTCCCCCAGTACTATCCCTCCTCCTCAGGAACCTCTGACAGAGCTACTCCAGTTTCTGTGGACAGCTGGGCAGTGCTGCATGCACTGGGATTGCTGTGCAGAGCACTGGTGGTAGCTGCAGTGGGCACAGCCTGGCTTTGTTTGGCTTTGTTGGCATTCTGTGTTCTCTTTGGAGAAGGTTTTGTATTTTAACTCTTGGAGATATCATGGGTGTTCTGTGTGTTAAATTTGTGGGTTCCGTACTATTTCTTGAAAAACTTAACCCTGCTGTTCTGCCCTGCGCGTTCCATGTGTCTGCTTGGGATTGTGAAGGTTTGCTGGATTGAGCACTATAATTCCTCAGAGGTTTGTGTTGGAGCAACTCAGTAGAGATTTCTGTCACAGCAGTTTTGAATGTGATGTTGTAGATTACAGGAAAAGATGAGCTTCTGAGGCCCAGTCCACCTCCAGTTGAATTCCCTGGGAACTGTGAGTGGACCTTAGTGCATACTGCAGTAGTTCCCGTAGTTGCAATGATGAGCTTTTTTCAGCTTGGTCTTTGTGGACCTATGGGGTCTGTTGCCTTCTGTATGTTCTGTGAAAGGTGAATAGAAGAGCAAGTCTTGTGGCAAGGAGGCTTTGTTAGACTGCCCTGTTCCGTTTCATAATTGTGGGATTTTTAACAGGTCTGCAAATTGAACAATGTTGAAATATATGGGAGAACGGACCTTAAAAATGTTGTTTCTGTGGCCTTAACAAGTACTGTCCTATTTATTCCTTTGAAGAAGGAATAGGATTGAAGAATGGGTTCTGGATATGGAACAGTCCTGGAGTAGTGAAAGGTCTTCCTTTTATAGCATTATTGTTTCTCTTCCACATGATGCTTTTACTTAAGGGGAATGAAACCTTACGGGGTAGCGGACAGATACATCTGTTGGAGGAGATACAAGCTGAGCTATATTTCTATCTTCAAAATGAGGAAAAAACAGTTCCTTGACTTAAGTACAGTGGACCCCAGTATTAGGTTGAGTTTATATTTAAATGAAACTTTTCTGATTTCAGTGAATTGTATGAACAAGACTTTTCTTCGTGATAACTCAATCCAGGCTGCATTCCTCCAGGCTGTGATTTTTCTCACCAGGCTCTCTGATGCACCATGAGCCCAGCAGTGTGAATGTGCTGTAGTCCACAAGTATAAAAGTCCTCTCACTGTTTTTTCATCAGTAAGTACATACACACAATGTTCTAACTTTGCCTTAGATGCCTCCACAGGTATTTCCTCAGAGACTCTCACGTGTGCACAGACAAACGTTTTCCCATCTGTAGTATGGCAGGAACAGCTGTAGGACTCCAGAGGGAGGACTCCAGGGCCAAGGCCAGCTCCAGGGCGGTCCTGTGCCTCTGTGGCGTTTGCTGTTGTCTGCTCAGCTGTGCTTTATATCTCCTTCCCTTGTAGCACATCTCCCTGGAAGCTGAGATACCCTCCCAATCGACCCTTCCTTCTTTTCCACAGTCGCTCTGAGGGGAAGGAGGAGGAAAAAGGGACTGTAGCAAACGTAACACTTTCAGGATGTCCTATCTTCTGCGGCTGCAGACAGGAGGTGAGGAACTGGCTCCACCCTTCCTTTGCATAGATCCTGGATGGTGCAGAACTTCGTGTGGGACGTGCAGGGATGGTGCTGAGGAGCTGCAGGGCAGTGCTGCGTGGGGAGGGCACAGGTACATCCTTCAGCTCCAGGTCTTTTAAGTTCCTGTGACCTACATTGGTGAGGGCTCCTCCTTCCAGATAGGAGCCAGAGGATTCTGAAGGGCAGCTCTGCAGCATGTCTGACCAAAAAAAAAAGTAGCGTCCCACCGGCTCTTTTGATGTTTCCACTTAATAATTTTTGGTTCCGCTGAACTAATTAGATTCTTTTTGATTCATTTATACATTATTGAGGTTCTGTGGATCACAGTACAGCCTCTTTATTACCTCTGCATATGAAAGGCAATATATTATTAACGATGATAGTGCCAGTTTTTGTTGTGGTAAGATGTTAAGTGGTTTAGTGCAATTTTTGTTTTAACAAGGATACTGCAGATTCTTCCCCCCCTTTCTTACTATATTTTGAAGTAAAATACAGGCAGTGTGCATCTTCTTTTTCCTTTAACACTGAAGGAAAACAAACTGCTCTAGATCTCCCTTTGTTTTTGAGCTGTGTGACTTTTGGAAGGGTTCAGTTTTATAAAATAAGGTGTGCAATGTAGCCAGGCCATGATTTTAGTTAACAGGCTGATAAAATATGTATATATACATACAAATAGTAAATTCACCAATGTAACTTACTGTAACGTTTCAAAACATCAGTAATTTCTAACAGTTCAAAATGTTCAGTCATTTCTTTCGAGAGCAGAACTTGCACAAAGGGAGGCACGTGCTGCTCCCTGGCCTCAGCTCAAGAGTGTATCTGTCAAAATCTGTGCTATTCATGTAATTAGCACAGCAAAGTTCAAAAAAAGGTTTTTGATGCAAACAAGCACAAGTTTTTATGTACTCTGAGTAAATGATTAACAAGAAAATGTCTATACATTTGCACATTGTGGCATTTTCTGAGCTGAAAGAGTGAGGTTTCACTACTGAGCATGAACATCCATTGTTTTAAGTGCTGGAGTGCCACGTTTATAAGGGCTTAATGTATATTGTGATAATTTATTTGGAATGTATTCCTGTAGAATATTAATTCTGATACAGACATTGTTTCAGTAGGAGTATTCATGTTGTTTGTTTACTTTGTACTCTCTGGGACAGAAAAAGTACAAAATAGACAAGTTTTCAGGGTGCACTTGCAGGCCCCATCAAGGTCACTGATTATCACTTGGCATCATACTCCAGGCCCTTGTTACCCAAGTGCTTACACAGTGTTTAGGTCAGCAGGTAGTGTCACTATTTCAACATGGGCTTAGACAAGCATGAGACATGTTTTCTGATCTGAACTCTTGATGATTTTGACAGAAGAAAACACTTTAGGGTGCTTATATCACATGTGTCATAGATTAATAGTGCATTTAATAAAAGAGTTAACTTATTTCTAAAGACATTATGCAATGCACATTTGTAGCCAAACCCAACACTATCCCCACGAAAAGAGAATTAAGCTTATTTTTAAAATGTTATGTTTAATAGGAAAGAAGTTGTCACTTTTGTATTGTCGGTGAATTTGATATTATCTTCAGCACAGTTCAGTATTGATGTAATGCAGCAGTTGAATCTCTGAGTTTGAGATCGGAGCAATGTGTTTTCTGATTCTAAAAAAAGTAAGTTCTGTAGGACAACCGGCAAACTGCTATTGAAAAGCAAGTACACTATTTAAGGGAACTTGCAAATGTAAAGCCATGTTATTTTTCAAAACTAAGAAAAAAAAAAGACCATGGGTCAGATAATTCCCTTCACTTTTTACCACAGGAAATGATCAAAGTAGCAGAAAATCTGCTCTTTTTGGCCAAACTTCTGTCAGAGACAGAAGGGGTCGAGCCAACACATGGTGTATGCAGCCTTGCAGCAAGAGGGAATGTGGCTGATGGGAAAGGAGGTGGGACCAGAGAAAATCTGTAGGGTAATGCCTCTTATTAAACCCACAGGAATTTTCCTATTCTAGATAAAACAGAAGCTGATCCAATAAAGCAAATCTCAAACAACACAACCTTTCTTTCTGGGCCATTAGGAGCCTGTGAATGAAGACGTGGGGCTGGGAGGGTTTGGGATGCTGTGTGTGGAGCAGCTGTGTAGCTGTAGGGAACCAAGGGTCTCTAGGGTAGCCCTAAGATATGTAAGAATTACAGGCACAATGTGTACCTGCCAGAACAGTTTGGTGGGAAATGAAGGGGTTGGTTTTTATCTTTTTTTTTCTTTTTCTTTCTTCCCTATCAGGCTCTTTCCAGACTTTACAAGCAGAAGCAGATGGTAGGGGCCAGTACATTTTACTTCTTTGTTCTTGCTGCCTGTGAAAGGTGCCAGATGGGCAATGATAAAGATAGAAATTCTCTTCCTGTAGCCCAGGGATAGCGGAAAATGCAGAGCTTCAAGGCTGCCCTATCCTCACAGGATCACCATAACATGTTTTTTTGGGCCCACTGTTCCACTCTTTGATTTTTTGCCAAGAAACTGACAGAAATTCCCAGTGGCAACTTGACAGGGGCATTGAGGACTATTAAAATATTTCCCATAGGTCACCAAACCACCACCAGGTTTGGATCACTCACAAATGGGCCAAAAAGTAGACAGGCTAGGTATGAAGTGCAAGGCCAGATCCTTCATATGAATAACTGAGAAAATTATATACTGTGTGCTCTGAGAGGCGTTTATTTACTTGGGAATTAGAATTATCAAAATTTTTATATGAGTAGTTCAAAGGTATATTTAATTAACATAATTAGCAGTATTCTGAAACCTTTTCTTAATCATGACAGCCATCTATGGACATGAAGGGCCTTCTCCATGACTCTGTGAAGTCTGTGTAATTAAATATTACTGTTTTCCAAACTATGTTAAAATGTTAAGGGTTGTTTTGTGTGGCAAAGCGAGGAATTAAGTATTGATTTTCATTAATCTGAATGTTTTCCTAGAACTGGTTTGATTGTACTAGAGTCCTTTGAACCTAAGGGTTTTTTTTGTTGTGTTTCTTTTTTTGCTTTAAACCACACAGTATATGATGCTGTGTTCCAACAAAGTCAAAAGCAGCATTTCAAGATTAATGCAGAGATTCCTGGGGTCTTTTGTCAGCTTGCCAGGCTCTTGTTCCTGTTCTAACTTAATTTTTTATAATTTCCTTTTATGTTAATAAAGGCTTCTTGTGGCTGTAAAAGCTGAAGTTGTCTCACTCCATAGACAGCCTGGTTCTTATGTAGATACTATTTAGATTATTTAGAAATCCTGCTGGTTGCCAGATGGAGCTCTTTTGGGTTTTATGTTAAATACTTGGAAAGCTAAATAGCTTGATTTTTTTCCTCTTCTCCCTCCCTTCCTCCCTCAACAACATAAATAAATACTTGAAAAGTGATTACTAACAAGTTGCTTAACTTCAGTTTTAAAATCAAATTAGTTTGAGGTGAAGTGACTGCAAGTACAACATACCTCAGAGTAGTTGAGTTTTGGTAGGGTTTGACTTACTTACCAAGATTTTAAACCAACAGTTTTTCTCCAGTTCTGTGTGGGCAGCAGGAACCTGAACCTCTGTCCAAGGACAGAGAATCCTGAAAAGCAGAGAATATGGCCCTGAATCCTGCAGTTGTGTTTCTTGCAGGATCTGGACCTCAGATGGAAACCCCAAGACAGTCTTAGAGTCAGTGCCTGTTCGGGTTGCTGGAAGTCTCTGGCAGGGTGTGGTTCAGTGGTATGCTGGGCTGCTCCAAGCCATCTGGATCCCTGCATTAGTTTGACCAGATTTTGGGTGACTGATAGTCTCTGTTGTAGCTCCAGTGTCTCTTTCTCCCTGCTCTGAGTGTTTAGGTGAGCCAGTGAGGAGGAGAGATCTGACATCACGTTCTCCAGTAGCAGCATGGAGCGTTGCAGTTCTTTAATAGTTATAGCATGGGAAGTGGGAGCCCATACTGATGCCAGGGTGGGCTCACAATGGGGTGTTATTTCCCTGACCTTTGGGGTGGTTCACTCTTCAGCTCATCCCATCAGTTGAGTGCACAGAGCACCAGCAGCAGAGCCAGGCAGGTCTGGTGGGTTTTGTCTGAATTTTAGTGATTATGAGGCTTCGTTTGGTTGAAATTCACACAAGCTGCTGAGTCTCAGAATGTTTCCCAAAAGCACAGTGCCCATAGGGCACAGTGGCACTGATGAACTGATTCACCTCTGTTTCATATGGAATGCTTACAAGCTGTTCTTCCAGGTCGTGCAGGAGGTGCCTGGGAACCACTGGGAGTCAATGTCTCTCTCATTATAATTCTGTTGTTGTCAATTTATAAAATGACCAGAGAGCAATTTTGGCCTCCAGCATTACATTTTTAAAGTACAGGGTAAAAAATTGCCCTTTCCTAGTCAAGTTTTTCAGTATGTATTGATTCTGTCTGGTTCACATTACATATAGGAAGTCTCAAAGTGGCAAGGGATACTGTTCAGGTGTACTTTGGCCTCTGTTTGCATTCTCAACATGCACACTGTGCAGTGTGACAAATTATAGGCCCTGTAGCACTTCTGAACTGGCATGCAGTTAATGCTCAGCTCTTATTTAAATGCTTCAAATTTAGTCGATGTTTAAAAATTTACTTGCTGTTTAAAAATTTACTATGGAATCAATCTATTCTGGCAATGTTAGATTCATAGTTCAAAAACTTTATGCCCTTTTATCATCTTAACGTAGCCATTAGACTGAAACTTTTCAATCTCTGGGTCTGGCTTAAAAAATGAAAAGGAAATTGAGCCCTGTATTTGAGTTTTAGTGTTTTTGAAAGCTTTAAAGCTAATGAGTTGACCTATTTTGAAATTACAGAGCATGGAAAATAGCGAGTGTGTTTTTTTTCAGGTTGAAGCAAGCTATTGTTTCTCTGCTCATAATTAAAAACTCACTCTTTAGAAACTCAGATTGTTCCTAGGCATTGCAATAAAGTCTGTAAG